CCCCATGAGGGGTTGCTCTCGTAGGCCACCACCCTATCCCCAAAGTCCAAAGTGCCCCGCTCGGCTCTCTCCTCTCTGATTCTCCGATGACTTTGACAGGGGGAGCATGACCCCAACCACCCCACCACCGTGCCCAAGCCGAAGCCGATCGAGCGGCGACGCGGGTTCGCTTCAGCTGGAGTTGGACGAACCTCATCCATCTGGACCTAAGCAGCAACAACAACTCGGCGTGGGAGATGATAGATCATGTGTTTGCGCGTCAAGTGTGAACCGGAGTCGCATCTCCAAGGCGTAATCCAGCACCACCCACTAGTCCAGTAATCCAGCCAGCTAAGCCTCTTCCTCCTCAGTGCAGTGCCAGGGCTAATCCAAAAACACAGCCTACCAGCAAAAATATGCTTCGAGTTCAGCTCGTGCTTCGGCGGCGGCAGGGACGACTATGGCGGCGAGCGGTCCAACAGCAACCGCAACGAGGCCGGCGGTCATGGACGAGGCCGCAGAGGGAACAACAACAGGAACGGCTACTATGGCGGCGCCGACCACAAGGCGCCGCCGACGGCCTACCAGCAGCCGCCCGCCGCAGTCGATGAGGCCGGGCACAAAGGCCTATCACGACCACGCGCTGGCGCCGGTGCCCGCGTCGGTTACACCGCCTACGCGCAACACAAGGCTGATATCGAGAGGCCCAAGCTTCCCGCGTGGCACAACAAGGTCAGCGACGAGGCCTACACAGCGCGCCTCCAAGAAGCTGCTGCTGATCACAGGAACAACGCCACCACGGATTTCCACCATTACCCAACTACCGCTCTCGGCAGGTACTAGCTACTCTTAGTTCTAGATACATCCATTTCCGAGACAAGTAATTCCGAACGGAGGGAGTACTTGTTAGAACTAGCTAGCATGACAGTCCATCAATCTCTCCCATGCCCGAAACATTGCCTGTTGCTACTCTCAGGTAGCTCTGTTTTTCCTCTGAGGCCCAACGGCACCTGGAAATAGTGTGTGAGATCCAGGATCTAGGGGGTGTGGATTTTGAACAGAGCCTCCTCGAATATGTCCATGGATGTGCGGCACAAGTTGTAGCTCTAGCTCCAGGAAGCTTTTTATGAGTCTTCTCGTCTAGTTGCTTGCTTGTACTTTAGTTGTGACCGCTTTCTTCTTGTCTGATATAATTAGGTGAAAGAAAGCATTGTGAGATCTCAGATGAGTCCCCATTTCTGCTGTTTGTATGTGCATGTCTGTTTTAACTCACCCAGTTCCAAAGCATGTGTGTGCCTGCTGCCAGGAAATTGGTACCTCAATTAAATTAGCTGCAAATTCACGTGTAAACTACCATTGCTTCTTCATTCGTTCGGGTTGTTCTCATCTCACAGCCATTCTGAAGCACTGAATGCCCACCACAATTTGGATTAAGCCTGAACATCATACTTTGTAGGCATGTTATCCGGTCCTAAATATGTATACTGATCGTTTCTCATCGAAATTGTCGCCCTGATTTCCATTAGAGGAAACCAGAATTTGGTACAACGCCTGGAGTACGAATGTGTATAACACTGTGCTTTCTTTTCTATATTTTATGGCAAGTGGCCCATACGTTTCTTGACGCTATACTTGTTATTTTCCTTGGAGGCTAATGACGTGATAAATTTCTTATAAAGATAGGAGTTGTCTGAATTAATTACTCTCCCCATTCCTAAATATATGATGTTTTGGTAGTTCAAATTGAACTATCAAAACCCTCTATATTTAGGAACGGAGAGAGTACAATCATAAGAAAAAAGCAATGGTAAGATGTGCCATGGTCTTCCCGGGAGAGAATGTGCAAATAAAGAAAGTGTGAACACTGATTATTTTTATTTTTTCCTATCTCAAATTCTGATACCGTGATTCCTGATAAGGTCCAATGAATTGATTGATTGTTCGCATAACTGAAATATTCCTCTAACAAACCACAAAGCATTGGAAAATAGAGCTATTATTAGTTGAGTTTGCTCAATTACACAGCCATCCAAGGTGATGCAAAACGGTCCAAGGTGAGCTTTAAGCAGCCTCATGATGATTCGAACTGAGCCTTGTTTCATACATCCACCACCATTACCTTCAGGAAGCCACCGATAAAGAATTTTTTGGGACACAAAATCTAGATGTGTGATTGTCCCCTGTGTATCCTTGCCCCATAAGTTTTCAAAAATTTCATGTGAAAATC